CCCATGAAACGGAAATCATGTTTCCTGTCCTTCCTCCTTTCCTTCCCTCCTGTGAGCTATCGTGAGAATAGACAAAAACAAATTTCACGACAGTAAAGCCAGTTCTCTTGGAGAATTTGAGCGCCTTCGTGGTTACTATGACAAGAAAGCGCACCAGGGGCTTTGGCTCAAATGCAAAGAATAAAGGCACGCCCCCAGTGGATAAAATTCCGATCCACGGCACCCACCTCCCGGTCTCCTCACCATGTGCATAGCTGCCTCCATCCACTTCTCAGTCTCCTCCGCCGACACCGAGCACTCACTGCCAACAGCCGGTGAGGATGCTGCCTTTACCTCCATACCGCACACGGCCCACCGTTCTCACCTCCAGAGACCGCGGCGGAGGAGGTACGCTTGCAGCGGAACGCGGCAGGTACCAGCCACCGTTTCCGGAGGAGCCGAAGCGCAGGGCACCCGGAAGCGAATTCTGGACGGACCTGGGCTTTCCCAGCCAGTGAGCGACAGCGGCACTGCGGCGGCTGCAACCGAAAGGGCTGCTGCTTACCTATAGTACACGCCCCCTTCCCGCTCGGGTGACAGTCTCTACGGAACGTTGAGTTTGAGATTTCTGGAGAACACCCACTGGATCAGCGGGGCCTGGTGACAAAGGAACGGTTTCCTGGTGAACCAGCCCCTCGCACCCCCGGAGTCTGAGATGCTGAGATCTACGTGGAATTTTCTGAAACGTCACAAAAAGAAATTCATCTTCGTGGGCACGGTCCTCGGAGGTGGGTGACAACGTGCGTGGAAAGAGGGCATTAGCTGAAAGGAGTGGGAAGGGATGTGACTTCGTTCTAAATTAAGGAGAGACTGGGCGTCCCTAGTCCGACATATAGAGAGGGGATTCATTTTAACCATCAAATGGGGAGCAGGGTGACAAACCTCCAGGGTTCTTTCCCTCTCTGCAGTTGTGGAGTTTCTCTGTGTCTCTTACCTCTCACCACTTCTTACTCTGTTTCTCACCTGTCCTTTGGTCTCACGGACCTTGCGAAAACAACCCTCGCATTTAAGTTTCTGTTTAAATGCACCATTCTCTTACAGACTCCTGTTTGTTTTGGGTTTTCATTTGTTTTGTTTTTATGAATATTTGATTGTGGTTTGGATGAAAGTTAGACACTTGTTTTAAAATTATATTCTATTGCTTTTCTGTGTGATTCTTCACTTCTATTTGGCACTCCCAGTACTTTGTATATTTAAGTATATTAAGTGGTTTTGAGGAGCCCTGGTGACACGAGTGGTTAAGCAAACCAAAGGTCGGTGCTTAGAACTCGCCAGGTGCGTGGGAGAAAGATGTGGCAGTGAGTTTCTCTAAGTACTACAGCCTTGGAAGCCCCATGGGGCTGTTCTGTTCTGTCTTATCCAGCCGTTGTGAGTCAGAATCGCCTGGACCGCAATGGATTTAAGTGGCTTTGACCTTTCACAGAAATTTCATAATATTCTAGTAGAGTTACCTAAAGCCTGCATTTTGGGTGCTGTTTAAAGTTTTTGTAAATTTTTTAAAAAACAGCACAATTGTAATGAAGGACTAGTAGATATGTACTTGTTGTTGTTGTTGTTATGTGCCTTCGAGTCCGATCCGACTCATAGCGACCCCTCCTTGGGTTTCCGATGCAGTATCACTACGGAAGTAGATTGCCCAACCTTCCTTCCTTTGAGGAGTGGCTGGTGGGTTTGAACCGCCAGCCTTCTGGTTAGCAGTCAAGTGCCTTAGGCATTATGCTACCAGAGCGCCTCCTAGATATGTACTACACAAAGAAAAACAAATCAATACTTTAGCTCTCTTTCTGCTGTTTGAGAACACAAATAATGCAAGAACATGCTTGAGAGATGTGCAATTGCACACAAGCTGTTCAAAGTTGGCATAAATGCCCACCTAGTTGACCTAACTTTACACAGACAGGAGATTAGAAATACAGAAGATAAAAATCTTGAAACCCTTTTTTCTCATGTGATGCTCATGTCATAATATGCAGAGATTTGAAGGAGAGAATAAGAAGCTTTGTGAATTATTCAAGAAAGAAATCTAGGAAGGTTAGGCTAAAAAAGAGGAGCTTAAAAGAACTTGAGTTTTTGAGAAATAGATTTATCACGGTAGCGCAGTGCCTAAAGTATTTGACTGCTAACCAGAAGGTTGACGGTGCAAACCACCAGCCACTCCATGCAAGGAAGACGTGGCAATCTACTTCTGTAAAGATATACCGCCTGGACAACCCAGTGGGGATCGCTGTGAGTCTGAATCGACCCGATGGCAGCGGGTTTGGTTGGGTTTACTGATACATACTTTGGTCACATAAATACTTAAAAATCAAGAACAAAAGTTTCCCAAAGACTTTGCTTTTCTCTTACTATTAGATTAGATTAGATTACCTCCAATATGTAATTAACAGTATTCTTAGCAGCAAAAATATAGATTGGTGATCTTTTTTTTGATCTTAAAAATTTGAAACAGACTTCTTATTGATGAGGCAAGGGTAGTCTTTTGCGTGTCTCGCAGGTTTGTTGAGCATATGTATTGTTTTTCTGATTGTACCTTAACAAAGTAGTATTGAGAGCTTTGTCTTTAATGTCACTAATTCTCCCTTCCATTGATTCAGTTCTACTCCTTTGCCTTTTCAATGTGTTATCTGCTTGTGAAATCTTAGTATTAATTTTCTGGATTTCTATGTACTGTTTTTGTATGGTTTGTAATTTTTTCATTCACTTTGTTCTTGTATTGTTTTCCTACATTCTTCTAAAGTTTTGTCTGTATTTTCTTAATTGTGTTATTGTTTTCCTTACTTTTATCAGTATTTTCCTTGATCTGTCTCTCAATCTGTTGGAAGTACTTAAATATAATTATTTTGGTTCCTTATCAGATATTCGCAGAGGTTTTCTGGTTCTGTATTCTGGTCCCTTGTTTGTGCTACTTTATCTTGCTTCTCTCTGTAAAATGGGATTTTCAGTTGTCTGAGGCGTTGTAAGGAGCTCTGGTGGCATAGTGCCTAAGCCATTGACTGCTAACCAGAAGGCTGGTGGTTCAGTCCCACCAGCCACTCCTCAGAAGGAAGATTGGGCAATCTACTGTAGTAGATCTGCAGTGGTACCACTTCAGAAACCCAAGGAGATGTCACTATGAGTTGGATCCGACTCAATGGCAGTGCATTCATGCATTTCAAGACATTGTAATGTCATTGTATTTGTATTTAATGGGTAAGTGTGTGTGATTTATGCAGGGTTGTTTTGTTTGTTTGTTTGTTGTTTTTGTTTTGATGTATCTGAGCAAGTGGAGCTGATGTGCTGCTCTGTTCTCTAATTTGGCAGCACTTAGCCACTCACCGACCTGTCTCCTTATAGGTGTGATAGAGCATGAGAATGTGTGCACAGATCTCTGTTAGCTGTTCATATAGAGCATTTGAGGGTGGGTTGGATGTATTGGCCACCGTCTGTCATTGATCATTTGGTGCAGAAGCAAGTGGTAGCCCAGTGGGTGAGGTTGCAAGAGGTACAGTGTAGTTGGGTTGTGTGGGCACAGTTGCTGTCTCCTGCCAGGTGGGATTAAATAAATAAATAAAAACAAGAGAACAGAAAAAGCAAGCATAAACAACCAACCACAGAAACAAAAATATAATAAAGAAAAAGGGGGGAGGCAAAAGAAGGACAAAGAGAAAAAGAAAACAAAATCTTGGAGGGGAGAAAAAAGAAAAGGGAGTAAGAGGAAAAGAATAGTAAAGAAAAAATAATAAAAATGCAAAAAGAAAACCAAGGCATGAGGAAAAAAAGAAAAGAGAAAAGACAGAGGAAAGAAGGGAACCAGGAAGGGGTGGGGGGACCAGAACCAGAGGAGCAAAAGAGAATGAAACATAGAAAGAAAGGGGGAAAAGAATAATTTTGAAAAAGAAAAGAAAACTGGGGAGGGTGGACAGGCTCTGGGCATTGTTGTTGCTGGCCATGTAGGTAGTGGGTAGTAGAACACCTGGCCCTGGCACTAGTTCCTGGGGGCATGGTGCCTGATCCGAGATGAGGTCCTGCTGCCCCAGAAGATGTCTGAGGACAGGGCACCCAGACCTGGAAAAAATTCTGCTGGCCCAAACAGTAGCTGGGAGCATGGTGCCTGGTTCCATTGCGAATTCCTTCTGGCCCAAAAACACCTGTGGAAAGGGTGTCTGAGACTAGAAAATGTTTCTGCTAGCCCAAAAGGCGCAGAGCCCCTGCTCCCAGCAAAAGTTCTTGCCAGCCCAAAAAGGGCAGGGAGCAGGGTGACTGATATAAGACTAGTTCCTGTCTACCTCAGAAGGCAACTAGGGGCAGGGTGCCTGATCCCAGATGAGTCCCAGCTAGCCCAGAAGGTGTCTGAGGGCAGGGCACCTGTTTTGGCTGTAATCTTAATGGAAGTGGATCACCAAGCTTTTTCTTCCCCAGTCCTGTTGGATGGGTTCAAACTGCCAACCTTTACATTAGCAGTTGAGCATAAACTGTAACTACCATTTATTGATGGCATAGTGGATAAGGCATTTGGCTGCTAACCAGAAAGCCAATGGTTCAAACCCAGCAGCTGCTCCATGGAAGGAAGATGGGGCGATCTCCTTCCATAAAGATTTACAGTCTCAGAAACCCAGTGGGGGGTCACAGTGAGTCAGATTTGACTCGATGGCAGTGAGTTTGGTTTTTGGTTTTACTTTATGCCCAAAACACTGCTAAGCTCTTTCTTTATAATGGGATACTTTTTGTTATCCCTATTCAAAAACATACGAACTAAAGCTCTACAAAACTAAGAAACGCCCCCAAGGTCTAGAGTTAGTAATGATGTAACTGGAGTTTAAACCCAGGTGTGTTAAATCTCAAAGCACGTTCTCTTTCTGTACTGTATCACTGTACTTGAATGAACTTAGGGTCTGATAGGCGTGAAAAAACAAGTATAGAATTAATTAAAATGCAAAACAATAAGAAAGCTGGAAAAACTGTACAGATCAAAGGAGCAGATAACATGGAAGTTAAAAAAAAAAAAAAAGAGGAAGGACATCACAGAAGAAGTGGCATATTTTTTACAAGCTTGAACATAGGTAAAGACGCTCTGGTGGCGCAGTAGTTAAGGCATTTGACAGTTAACCAAAAGGTCAGCTGTTCAAACTCACCAGCCCATTCGTGGGAGAAAGATGAGGCAGTCTGCTTCCGTAAAGATTTACAGCCTTGGAAACCCTATGGGGTAGTTCTCCTCTGTCCTTTAGGGTTGCTATGAATCAGAATCTACTCAATGGCAGTGGATTTGGTTGTTTTGTTTGTTTTTGTTTTTTTGAACAAGGTAAGATGTCAGTATGAATGGT